TTTTTCTTTTTCTTTTTCTTTTTCTTTTTCTTTTTCTTTTTCTTTTTTTTTTGTAGATGTGCTATTTGAAGTAATGACTGAAATCAAGCACAAGGACTGGATCACTCCTGGTGGCAGTGAGCTCAGAAGGGATCTCCTGGATTCTATAAGAAGCCATGTAAGCATGGGAAGGAAAAACAAATGCTGTATCCCAAAAACTCAGCTGCTAGAGATCACGTCGTGCTCTTCGTCCCAAGGATTTTCTGTTAATGTCACATGATGAGCCAGCATTTGAGTTGCTTGTGCTTGTCAAAATCCAAGGCCTAATGCCAATGACATTCAGGGTGCCTGTACACAGTGATGGTGTTTAGGTGCAGAAAGGCACTGTAGAAACAGATGTGACCTGCTGAAGGTTGTAACTTGCCTCTAGAAACAGGGTGGGTTGAACACAAGTCTAGGTGGGGTTAGATTTGTGTGCTCTCAAGTCTTGCTTTCTGGGATGCAGCCTACAGTGGGTGTAGAGCTCACCCTGCTGCCTGCTCCATAAAGCTGCCACTCACACCCTGGATGGCACACAGCCCATCCACTCTTTCTCATCTAAATGCTTATCCTGGGGTTTCTGTTGCTTTTCCTAAATTACCTTGTCTGTTTGTGGGAGCTGAGCTAAAGTTCAGCAGATAGGAGGCATTAGCAGTGTCCTAGAGAAAAGGCACCCAGCACAGGGTTATGGGACATCTAACATGTCCTGAGTGCTTTGTGAAAGAGAAGAGCAGGACAGGAGGGAGAAAAGTAGTGGTTTGCTGCCATATCTGTGCCCACCAAATATCAAATCAACACTGGTCACTTGCCTTGCAGATCCAGCAGAACCTGAAACTCTCTGCCAACAGAGTCAGTGAAATAAAGTTAAAGGAAGCCAAAAGGTATGGTTGTTGGTATGCCACCTTCTCGATAGGCATCTTTATTACCTGTGGTGCTCCTTGGATATTGGTTTCTTTCTCCTCCAGTAAAGCTGTCTCGTCACAAATTCTCTTTGCAAGAGCCTGCAGCACTGTGACCATCTGCTAATGAGTGGAAGGGGCTGTTGCAGCAGTGCTTGGCCATAGTGCCTTCCTCCTGCCTCACCCTGGGCTCTTCCTGCCACAGGACAAGCAATGGCAGCCTGCTGCTCACCTTCTGGCTACACCTGAAGCCAGAGGAGAGAAATATGTCCCTGCTGCTGCACTCCCAGCTGGGAGAGCTGCTCAGTGCTTCAGTGGGAGCGGGAAAGCTGCAACTCATCTCACTGCTGGTAGAAGGTAGGTGCTCTGGGCTGGCAGCAGGGCCCTTTCATGCTGAAGCTGATGTGACTTGGCACCTGTTTCCCATCAGATGTGAATGAGTGCAACTCGGGAGTCAGCCTGTGCGGGGAGGAGGCAGAATGCTTCAATGGTGTGGGCACCTACCTGTGCCGCTGCAAGAAGGGCTACGAGGATCATTCTCCCACCAAGTCTGGCACCCTTTGCATCCGTACTCCCCAGTCAGGTAGATGACACAGTAATGTTCCCATACTTCTGCATGTCTCATGGTGATGGTACTGAGGAGGGTATATGATCATGTATACAGTTAGTACAAACATTGCATTTGTGAATCTCTTGTGCAGCAGCCTCAGCAGCCAGTGGCTCATCAGAGTGCTTCAATTTAGCTGTTCTTGCCGTGTGCAGCTTTAACTGAAATCCAAACAGCCAGGTCTTTGCTATTGCGCATTACATCTTGTGCTTAAAAGTGGCTCTTCAACTGGCACCATGGCTTTAGGAAGGGGGAAGATCTGTGTCTTTGCAAGACAACTTCCAGATAGCTGTTCTTGCAGAGGGGAAAAACAAACAAAAAGCACTTCATGCTCTGGCTTCAGGTGATTTTTTCAGGGTTTGTGCTCAGATGTGTGCGGGTTGGAGGCCAACGTGGTCCCTTCCAAAGTATCTAGGTCAGGAAGTGAGCCTTGTAGTGGGAGGACAAATAGTCTTTTCCTTGTCCTGTGCAGGTTCTAGAGGGCATCTACTTTCAGAGGTGAGACTAAATGGGCATCCAAAGGGTGACCTGTATCGGTGACCTGCATCAGGCTAAAATACTGCTGGTTGTTTAGTGTAATTAAGCACATCCCCTCCCACAAGCTCCTGAAAGCTGAATGTGAGCTTGCAGTTTAATTGCATTTCTCATTTGTTCTCTCAGCTCCAAATTCATTGACATGTTGCACCACCAAAGCCTATCCAGACTGGTTAGGTACATCATTATGTTAATGCTTTTTAAATGCATATTTATCTTTGGGGTCCCTGTGTGCCTGGAGGGGAGGGAATGGCAGCAGGTTACTAAGCCTCCATGCAAGTTCAGCAATGGCTCTACTGGGGAGCCCCCATCTCCTGTGGCTGGCCCTTGGTTTAAACATTTATTTGGGATGGTGGTTTGGGAGGGGTGCTCTGCCAACCCCAACTCAGGCCTTGGCTCTTCTGACAGGGTTGAGCTTCCTGCTCCGCCACGCTGACATCCTGGTGGGGGCAGCCATCACAGGCAGCCTGGCGCTGCTGGTGGCTGCTGGAGCCCTGTGCTGGGCAAAATGGCGGAGACGGCATCCGGGCAGGGCCCTGGGGCCTGAGGAGCCACCGGAGCAGGCTGTGGAGGAGCCACCAGTGATAGAACTGCGGGACCTGGGGGACTGCCTGCGCCTCGACCCCTTCCAGCTGAAGCTGAGGGCAAGGCCCCCTGAGTGGCTGTGGGGGGCTCGGGCACGCTCTGGCCAGACCTACAGAGTCTTCCTGGAGCAGTCACCCCCACTCTAGGGTGGCCCTCATTACCTGTGCAGTCAGTGCTGGCTGTGCAGGATCTACTCGTGTGTTTTATGGCCCACCACTCTCCCCCAGCCTTTCTCATTTTTTTGTCACTTACTGTTTTTTTTAAATGCTTGTTCCCCTTTGGAAGCAAATGTTCTCTGTGTTCTCTCCCCCTTACCCTAATTGAGATTTGTGCAGAGTTGTTAGCGTGTAATAATTAAATAATTTGTTCTTTTTCTTCTTCTTTTTTTTTTTTTAAAAAAAGAAAATAAATGTTTCAGTGCTTAATTTGGGAAATGAAAGATTAGCCTTGCACCTGTGCTCAGGTACACTGCTTTCTTCTGCCCATCATGCAGAGCCCTATGGGAGCCAGGGCAAGGCTGCCATATTAGAGCCCTCAGCCTCTTGCAGCCTGCTTGAGGAACACACCAGGCCCTGACTTTGAGGTCCTGGAGATGCTACTGGCCTTCCTGGGGAATGGACACAGCACTTTATAATGCTTATGTGAATCCTGATTGCTGAGATGCCAGCTGCAAAGAGCATCAACCATCACTCTATCCTGCTGGCTGGCAGTATGGTGCAGTTGTATCCTGGGCTTGTAACTTCCTCCTCTTTCCTTGCCAGGGCTTTTAGAGAGTAATTTTAATAACCTTTTTTTTTTTCCTTTTGGGAAGTGTGTAAGTGGCATGGAGGCAAATGTCCCACTGGAGGGCACTGTTGGCTACTGAAAATCTAGCGCAGGATCCTCTGACCAGCTGAGCTGGCCCAGAGCTGGGGCTGCCAGATGTGGGACACAGTTGCAGGGGTCCTCGGTGCAGCCTCTGGACAATCTCTTTGTATGCGTTGACCCACTTTCTCTGAGATGTTCTGTGGATATGGAGGCTGAAGGGTGTGTGCTCCAATCACAGTCTCGTCCAAAAGCTGGGGTGCTGGTGGGACCCCTGCCTGTGGAATGAAGTCCTCAGCCCTGCTGATTTTTAGTACTCATTGGCACTGTCTGGGTTTGGTTAACAACAGGCAGAGACACAAGGGGCTCTCAAAGATGTTTTGCTTGTTGCTTCCTTTGCAGTACATATGGGCAATCAGCAAACCACGTGTAGAAAACACTCAGTGAAAGCTAAGTATGTTGTGAATACCAGAGAATTGAATGCTAGCATCTCCCTGGGAAGCAGATAAGTGTATGTAATTTTCCATCACAAAGAAGGAAACCATCAAACGTGTCTGTATTTGCACAGTATGTGCTTGTGTTCCCTGCTGAGGTTGAAGAACGCAGCAGGGACAAAATTAATGTTGCACTTGCTGTTGGGAGATGAACTTTCTCAGCCTCGTGAGAAATAGGGCAGTAAAAGCTGGGAAAGATGCAGATCAGTCTTTCCTGCCCTCTCTGCATCCTGTGGCCTTGCATTGAGCCCCTCTCCTTGGAACTCATCCTGTACCAAACCAGGGCCCAGGCATGATTTAGCAGAGAATCTTCTCTTCCCCTCTCAGCTCTGCTACAGCACCCTTCAGGTTGAGTGTGCAGGTGCCTGTGCTCCTCCATCTGCGTTGTGGGGGAGCCCAGGGAGAAAACTTCCTTGTACGTGGTCTCACTGTTTTGTCTGGCTCGAGATGGTTTCTGGTCATGTTCCTTGGCATTCTTGCTCAAGGGGAGGACGTGCCCCCCACTTTTCTCTTTTGTTGTTGCATGTATCTGTGATACAGTGAATGTGAATTGTTCAAAGAAAAATCTGATCTAGGCTGTGCTATTCCCAGCCCTGTCTGTGGTAGCTGCACGGTTAATAAGCAGATTGCAAAGAGTTATGTTACTGCAGAGTGCAGCTGGGACTCCTGGCAGTTACATGAAATTATCATCGTGCTCTTAGTGTCTCAGCCATGCTCCAGCTGGGATGTATGTCCTTTGTGATACTGCGTTGCACCACAGTGATCATAAACCTGTGGGCAGAGCTGGTGCTTTCCCCTAAGCTCACAGCGGGGCAGCATGAACCCAGGGACAGGGGCAAGAATGAAGGCATGAGGATAGATGTCTGCGTGCTGCAGAAGGTGCCTGCTCTGCCAAAATCTTCCTCATCTGCAGTGGAGTGAATTAATAGACAATAAAACGAGGCAAAAAGTAAATCTGCTGGGTCTGTAAATCTGAATTCTTGCATTGCAGGCTGGGATTGACTGGAAGCTATTCTGCTTCTGCCATCCAAAATGGATTTGTCATTTCTCTGTGCAGCACTGGGCTAGCTCACAGCCCTGGGCCATGTAAAATGACACGCTCAGTGGATTTATGGGCTGTGAGGCACGATTTTTTTTGCAGTAGGAGCCATTTCCCTCATGCATTATCGGTGATCTATTGCAGAGTGTGCAGAGGTTTGGGAGAGCCTGTGATTAACTTGGAAGCAGGGAGATGTCCTGTGGGATGGAATGTCAGCTGATTTTTTTCATTAAAGAGAGTCACTGAGCCCTGGTTGAACTTGTTCTTCCCAAACGCGTTAAGCTTTGAAGCAGGTAGGGGAAGGCCTCATCTGGCTGTAGAGCTCAGATCTGAATTGCAGGGCTGGGGGAGAAGACATGGAGGCACTTCCTGATGGGGCATCCTTCACCATATCCCCCATCATCTTCCTGACCAGAAAAGCCAGCAAAAAGAGATCTGCTTGGCTCTGGGATGGCAACGACTGGCACCTCAGTGAAAGTGAGAAAAATAACAAGAAGCAATGCAATGTGCTGTTGCTTGGTTGTACAGACTGAGCTGCACGTGAAAAGGTTCCAGCCCCCAACACCACAGGCTTCCAGTGCACCGCCTCTGCTTGCACTGTAAAAGGCAGAAACAAAAACAAAGGGTGAAACCCAAGAGAAAAGTCAATATTGCTGTTTTTCAAAAATGCAGCCCACTGTGGGACTGGGAGGGTGATGGAAAGGTTTGGGGAGGCTCCTGGATGAAAAGCTTTAGGATTGGCAGGACTTAAAGAGGAAAGAAACAACAGGCTGTGGGAGTGATAATATGCATCAAACTGGCTTCTCTCATGCTGCTGGAATGAGGGGATGAAAAGTAATCTGAAAAAGCAAACCTTAAACTCATAACAGAAATGCTCTTTTTCAATCGTGTGTAATGGGGCGGTGGAGCTCTGTGGCAGCAGATGTAGCTGAGAGCAAGTTGTGTGCCCCAATGGTTCTTAGCATGGACAGCAGACATAGAGGGCTTCCTGCTTCAGGCCACAGATCTCAGGAATTGGAAAGAGGTTTCTTTACATAACAGAGCAAACCACAGGTGGCTGGTGGGGTCAACACTGGCACCTAGAGGAAGCAGGAAGGTGGCCAAATTACCAAAAAATGGAGGGAGGATGTTGCTGCATCTGCAGGAACATCAGATGCTTTGCATCTGAAGCAGATTTGGAGCTGAGCTTTCAAACCCATGGGGGTGTGGGTTGGTTGATAGGTGCTGATGAAGGAGGAAGGCTGCAACATGCAGCTGAGAATCATCATGCCACAGTGTGTGGTGGATGTGCTGGACACATATATGTCTGCAGCAGCTTAAATTAACTAGGCAGCGTCGAGTAATAAAGCCTGCTCAGCTGTAAAAAGGTGCCTTTCTGTTATATATCTAAAAACCTGTTCACCTTCTTCTGTGTCTTCATCAGCAAGAGATGCTCCCCACCTCACTCTGTAGCTATCACAATACAGCACATGAGAGTTTGATTTCTTCATTAGCACTGCTGCCACGTACCTGGTTATTAC